TTTAAAAAATAAAAATTATTCTGCAAATGAAAAAAAAATCTAACCCAAGATAATCACTTAAAATATGAACTCATTTACTTTAAAGTGTATAAAGATTTTCAACGAGCATGTATTGTTCCGATTTGTGAATTTGAATGTTCCTTGCAGAAACACGCTACTACGTGTCTTTTCCACAGATCTGTGTTAATCAGTTTGATAACAAAATAATAAAGAAAGAAAGAAAGAAAGAAAGAAGAAATAATTTTTAAAATATAAAATTATTTTTTATACCTCGTGGTTATACTTTTCTGCTGGATGATTAAGACCAAATAAAGGTCTGTACTAATATTGTTTAGACAAGCTATGTCTGCATCTTGTCCTCTGAATAACTACTGTGAAGACAACAATATGCAATGTATTCATTATTGCAACTGTCCTACTAACCAGTTTTGAAACTGTTTCATTGCTATTTTTTCTTATTAAAATGAATTAGAAAATTATTTTTTGGAGATAAAGAAGAATAATAGGGTGTTATAAATCCTGACAGATACTTGGCTTTTTTTTTTTTTTTTGTACTTTAGGGAAGGGTCTACAGGGTGTTCAGGGTCTCACTACTGGATTGGACTCATAGTGATCTACTTGTTTACAGCCTCCCAAGAGCTAGGATTACAGGCACGCTTCACCATGCCCAGTCTCAATTGCTATCTCAATGCACCTGGGGATGGAGCCAGCATGGCAGGCCTGGGGATCGACCCCTGGCTCCTGTGCTTGCTTGCAGGTGCCTTAATTTGCAATATTTGGCTTTTTAAAATTATGTAAACATATTTTTTGAAAAAGGTGAAAATAATTAAAATTTATTTTTAAAGGAACAAATAATTACAGGGAATATCTGTAACACATATAAACAGAAGGTTCATATCTCTCAAGTTATAAAGAGCTTTTACAAAAGGTATCAAAATAACATAATATATACAAGGAAAATAAATAGACAACAATTATGAAATATTATTTACTTAGGCATGTGTGGGAAAATTTTTTTTACTTTTCAAAGCAACAAAAAAAGTCAAGGCCTCACTACTTTTGTTAATGCTATTAACACAATAGTATTAAATTAATTAGCAAAAATTTGAGAAATGGATACCAGTGTACATTTTTGGAACATCTATTAACTATGAGAATATAAGCTGCTGCACCATGTCCAGAGGAAAATTTAATGATATGAAACAAAGCCCTTTGAGCATCAACATGAAGTCAATGCTAGAAAGTTCTACATCTGACCTCATGTAACAAGCTATAATCAAAACAGAGGTGGACTGAAAATACTGTAGAAAATTATTCTTAGCCTATGTATAAGTTGAAATAAATTTCATATTTAGACTTGTCTCATCCACATAACTCATTATGTGTAGACAAATATCCCCCCAAAAATCTGAAATCATAAGCACCTTTGGTCATAAGTATTTCAGGTAAGAAGCACTCAACCTGTATTACTTCACAAAAATTTTTGTTTGCTTTTGAGACAAAGTCTCACTACGAAGTTCAGGCTGAACCTAAACTTACTTCATAATCCAAGCTGGCCTCAAGTTTGAGGCAATCCTCCTGCCTGCTCTATTTATAGGCACATGCCCTAATCTCCAGCTTTTGATCTGTATTTTTTAGCAAAAGTTTCTTAAGACTGTCTTTTTCTGCTTTTGATCTGTATTTTTTAGCAAAAGTTTCTTAAGACTGTCTTTTTCATATTGATTTACAAGAAATATGATAGCCTTACCTGAACTGTACGTCCTGCATTGATATGCTCTTCATGTAACTTGTCCCAGATTCTGCAGCGTTGATACTACAAAAAGAAAGAGGATAGGGTGTTGAATTTTTAATCACTAAAGGATAATTTCCAATTACCACAAAAATCTCTACTTACCCGCTCAAATATATCACCCAGAAAAGATGGTGATTTAGTAGTAGTACCTAACTTCCCTTAGACCATACAAATAGGGAATTTTCAGTAATATTACATACAGAATTCTAGAAATCAGTACAAATGCAAGATCACCAGATCCACATTACTTTATTGTACTGAAAAAGCATATATATTTTATCCATACTGCAAGCTCTCTGGGAATGGGAAATATAAAGAGAGTGTAAAGTCTAAGGTTAACAGCATTCCTCATATATTTCTATTATATATGAAGAACTTTTAAATGTTTGTCAGTGGTAAGTGGGAAACAAAAATTTGAATAACAATAAATATCTTAAAAGCACCCAGAGGGGGAAAAAAAAGACTCAAAAAGTAGAGAGGTGCAAAGATAAGAGAAAAGACTTTTTGAGATGATAAACAACATAAACCAGAAGATAATGGGACAATGTCTTAAAAATACATGGAAACAATAGACAATTTAACTTAGGATTGTATTCTCAGAAAAATGAAGGCAAAAATAAAGATTTTTTGGAACATAAAAATACTGACAGGACTCATTACCAGTGGATATATGTACTTAAAGAAATGGTAAAGGAAGTACTTCAAGATCAAAGAATCTACAAAAAACCTAAATAATATTAACAATAACTGAAGGCCAAACAGAATTATTCATATAATGAAGTCTATCAAAAATATAGCAAAAACACAAAAACAATAATAAGCACAAGGGCTATATATGCCAGGAATATTCTCAATTTACTAAAAACTATTATATTGAATACCTGAGTAAGCCAATATATTCATTACATACTCCACTTCTGAGTATCAACTCAGGGTTGTATGCATCAAGGCTTTTATATAAGCCTTAATCTTTGAAGATAATCATAATTTCACCATCACAATTGTCTCAGGGCACAGCACTTACAACTTTCCCAAGAAACATCAAATGTGGATGTTAAATGTGTGAAAGTTAAGATGTACTGTACAGTGCTATGTCAAGGCAGGGTATTTCTATCTGACTGGACATGTCTCAATCAAAGCATATTCCATAGGAAGCAACTAAGCTGGAACTTAAACAATAAACAATATTTCAATAGTGACAAATGCTGAGGTGCTTATTACTATCAGTATTAAGAGAAACAACAACTATTCAACTACATATTTTCCACCTATTTGGGGGTGAAAATGAACTTCAAAACAGAGAAGGATAAAAGAAGTGAGAGGAAAATAAAAACCAAGAAAGAAAAAGGGTAAACACAAATACTTCCAATAACAGCTTCAAGGAAATCACATTTTAGCAAACCAAAAGACCTTGCAAAAGTGATCATAGAAACACTTGTTCTCATAAAGAACTGCAAATACTGAAACAGTTCCTAGAGACTTGCAAATATTAGCCTAATTTTCCACAAAAGGAAGTATACCTTAAAATAAATCTGGGGGAAATTTTCATATTAGATTATTAGAGATGGTTTGTGACAACTTATGAAAATGGTGAAAGTATACTAGTATGCTGTATCTTTCTTTCTTATCCAATGTTACCATTAATGGCTTCAAAACAAGGAGTGCACAACTCCAAATTTGAGGATAAAAGTGTGAGAATTAACATAAAGATCACAAATACACACGATAGTAAAAACTATAACAATGATAAATATAATGCCCAATACTTAAAGTAAAAGATACAGGTATAATCTACCCCAACAGGTGCAGCCCATATAATAATTTTAAAAGTCCTATAGATTTCATTTAGTTGATTACATAGTCAATAAAAAAGCAAAATAAAGTGGTTTCTAAAATAACTGATGCAGAGGAGTCCCAAAGTGGCAGGGCAGAAAAATGCCAGCAACTTAGTCTCCAGGACAAAGTATCTAGAGTCAGGAAAAAGATACCTTGGAAAAAAAAATCAAATTGAGTAAAGGTTACCCAGGAACCATGAGGCAACTGACAGAGGGGAAGAAAATAGGATTAAGAGACACAGAAGAAATAGATCACACCATGGAGGAGAGACACCATAACGATGCTGACAGTGGCTGGTTAGACACCAGCCTGAGAGGCAAATTGAAATTCTAACACCTTTGCTCACAGAGAGTCAGACAACTGCTTCAGGAACTAAAGAATCATCTGCAGCTGGAAACAGAAAGGAAAACACAGGACACTGCTTCCACAGTAGCCTCTCACAGTCAGAATTTGGTAAGTGACCTTAGTACAAGCACCTACACCCACAATCATGGAGCAAAAGCTGACAGAGATGCCACTGTAGGGAGAGGCTCAGTGCCTGAACCTGGGTCCCAGAATAGCTGCCTGGATGGTTCACACCCAAGGTCCCAGAGGGGATAACAAAAAGAATCACAGGAGACAGCCAAAGATAGAGAGAGACAAGGGGCAGTCCTGAGAAGCAGGGGCTGGTGAACACAAGTTGGGCTCTTGTTGGCAGTCTGGTCCCAGAACAGTGCTGGGTGTAGAGATCTGCTTTCAGTGAGAATGTGGCACCAAGGTGAACTTCCAATGCAGTGTAACTCAGGGTGAACCTGGCCTCTGACCACAAGAGCCCGACCTATGTTCACCAGCCCCTGCTTCTCAGGACTGCCCCTCGTCTGCTCTCTTATCTTTGGCTGTCTCCTGAGATTCTTTCCGTCATCCCCTCTGGGACCTTGGGTGTGAACCATCCAGGCAGCTGTTCTGGGACCCAGGTTCAGGCACTGAGCCTCTCCCTACAGTGGCATCTCTGTCAGCTTTTGCTCCATGATTGTGGGTGTAGGTGCTTGTACTAAGATCACTTACCAACCGTTGACTGTGAGAGGCCACTGTGGAAGCAGTGTCTTGTGTTTTCTTTT